ATTCTGAATACAGTCTGTTAAGATAATATTAACAGTCTCCAAACACTAATTTTCCACTGGCTAGTCTTCAAGAGAAATTACTATGAGTTTCAAAAAAAATGTAAAACCTCTTAACAATTGCCAGATCTGAAATATACATTTCTGAGCAGTAGTATCAGTATAAAAAATTTCCACTTTCTGAAAAAGCATTCATAATAAAATTAGAAATGATGCTATAAGAAATCATAATGTTAGAACAATCCGGTATTTCCATTCATGCACACAATATGGGAAGCCTGCATTCAAACTCAGCTATGAAAATAGTATCAGAATCACTCCCATACTTCAAGCTTGCCATATTAGCTCCAAATCTCAAATATCATTTGTATTACATGTCTTCAGAAATATCACAGCAATAAAGAGAGATAAAGTAATAATCAAAATCTACATTGTTCACATTTACTACAAAGCCCAACCCCAAGAAAATGAAAATGGGTAAAACACAAATAGATTAAAAAAACAACTTATAAGATACAATTTCTTGCGTCCTGTGAATATACAAGGAAATCTGGTCCACTATGAAAGAATTTGTCAAACACCCTTGAGACCCTGTCCAGCTCTGTGCTATGTACTTTACTTCATTGATCATGACTAAAATAAAAAGAGTTTTCAGACTAATAATGTTTACAATGTGAAGTCCTGACCACAAAATGGCATTTGCTTATCCCTACACAGAAAGTGTAATTATCCACACAATGAAATCTAGCTCTGATTCAGGAAATTAAGAAGACTCTCTATTAATTTAATTTCTGTTATTTGATCCAAATTTTATTAATACAATGTTCACAGTACAAACTAACTTACATCCTTAAGTATTTTATTGATAAATTGTTAAGACATTTTTCTCAGAAGTTACATTGACAGAAATGCAACATTGCTCCCATAGCTTATTTTCCCATCAAATGACAACAGAAATTGTCCTGCTCCATAAGTTCTTGTGCTACATGCTGTGCACAGAGGCAAAACTCTGAGAATATTACCTGAGCAAATGAAAGCATCTCTTTACATGAGGACACAAAGCCTCACTGCTGCTGCCAGCACAGCTGTCACTGAGCATGCTGGAGACTCTTTCTGTTCTGCCACTCCCTGTCAGTACATTTCCTCAGACTTCATTCTGAAACCCCAGGTTTTGTGTTTGCATAGGTATAGATATGTATATATATATATATATATATATATATACACACACATATATGTACACATACATATATATATGAATATATGTGTGTATATATATGTATATATGTATATATATGTAAATATGTATATATATATATATATATATGTATATATCTATATCTATACACATGGAAAAGAACTGGAGCTTCCCCAGAGACAAACTTTCCCTTATCAGGTTCACATATCTAGCAAAGAAAAAGCCTTACATATCAAGTCCCAGAAGGATTGTATTGAAATATGACTTTGTTAATGCATAAAATTTACTACTTAAAGTCTGTCAATATTAGGAGGCTACTAATTAAACTATGAATTCTCTGCCAATCTCAAACATATGCTTCTTGATACTTAATATACTCTACCTAACACTGTAATCAGTGGTTTTATTAAAAATTAAAGGCAGACTTTCTTTTTTAAATATTAGGCTGAATTTAATTGACAAGAAAAACCTGCTAGATTTGCTCATTAATTTCATTATGTCAGTTATTTCACTATCTCCTAGCCATTAAAAATGATTTCAGCACCTCTCATCCGTGAAACCTCTACTCTCTTGATGATTAATTTGTCTTCACTATATTCTGGAACACTCTTACATTACCACATATTAGAAAACATGTTTTCTTTTCAAGAACTCTAAAAATTCTTCATTGATAACATACCTTAAGGATCACAGATATTTATTTCCTATAGAAAAAGGAAAGGTTTTGCTTTGAACAGATTGAAGCACAGCACGAACTCTTAGAGAGATCATTCCCAAAATATCCAGCTGTTCTGGATAGATCTGGATATATTCCCAAAATTTCCAGCTGTTCTGGATATATCTGAATATATTCCCAAAACTTCCAGCTGTTCTGGATATATCTGCATATATTCCCAATATTTCCAGCTGTTCTGGATATATCTGGATATATTCCCAAAATATCGAGCTGTTCTGGATATATCTGGATATAGTCCCAAAATATCCAGCTGTTCTGGATATATCTGGATATATTCCCAAAATTTCCAGCTGTTCTGGATATATCTGCATATATTCCCAATATTTCCAGCTGTTCTGGATATATCTGGATATATTCCCAAAATATCCAGCTGTTCTGGATATATCTGGATATAGTCCCAAAATATCCAGCTGTTCTGGATATATCTGCATATATTCCCAAAATTTCCAGCTGTTCTGGATATATCTGTATATATTCCCAAAATTTCCAGCTGTTGTCTTGCAGGATGGAATTGAGCAGTCCTGCTCCAGTCAGGTTTGTGCCACTCCAGGAACTGACTGGGGGCTGCAGCAGCCCTTTGTAGCCTGGGACTGATCTGACTATCCTGGCCATGGTGCTGTGGGTCAGTGACCAAGCAGGAGCTGTCACCAAGCCCCACTCTCCTTATCCCCCTCTTCTAATCCCATGCATGTTCCTTTGAAAAGAATCTGGATATAGCTCCTACCCATGGTCATGTCACACCAGGGAAGGGCTGCCCAAGAACCAAATCTTGCTCTGTTGGGACAGGGACATTGCTTCACAGCAGCATGGCAAGTCTGCAAACCCAGACCCTGTACATGCAGGAGTAACTGCTGCATTTCCCTCTTGAGATGACAACACGGGTTCTCATGTATCAAAAACATGACATGTTAAATTATTCCACGAGGGATTTGGTCCAAAACTCACCTTTCTGGTTTCCAGCTGAGCTTCTTCCTGGCAGCACTCCCTGCAGAAGGGATCCAGCTGATTCAGATTGAACTGCCCAAGGAGGTTGCAAGAACTGCACAGCAGGTTACTAGAGAAGCCCAGCTCTCTGCAAGCTTCTGATGACAACTGTGCTCCATAAACACTCACCTGAAAGTCAATACAATGTTGCACTTAGTATTAATTATTTTTTAAAAGATGGTTTTAAATGCTGTAATGATTAGAAAGAATGAGTTAGTCTCTTGACACAGTAGTATAAAAAGCCCCAAAGGAGCATTCCAAACTCTGCTGAAGCTACATATTAATTATGGCTGACTTATTAAATTAATGATGGTAGTAACTAAAACCTTTTTCTTGCACCTTGCTATCCACCCCTTTGATGCTTTACTGTCATCTTTTCTCTTCACTGTCACTGCTGCATCTGCTCCCCTTGGAGCAATGACAGGGCTGCTGGCATTGTCACTGGGCTCCCAGCAGCCTCTCTCCTGACACCTTTGCCCAGCAGATCCCCAAACAATCCATGAATACAAGGCCAGTGCTCTCCTGAGGATTTTATTTTGGGTTGTGTGTGTGTGACAAAGAACCAACCAAAACACCAAGAGTGCATGAAAGGAAGTAAAGGCTCCATTCCATGATAATTCCTCATTCAAGCGGTTTTGGTTACACAGCAAGCTCAAAACACCTTTAGAATAAAAGTACAGAGAAGCAAAGGAAGAAATAAAGATAAGGAAGTCTCTATCCCTAATATTTTTACTCAATTTTTAGTATCTTAACTATCATATTTTCCTGAAACAATAAATCACTAATCATAATAAATGTCTCTGATTACGACTGGAAAAAACCCCTCCCACTCCAGAAAGCAAATTCCCATCAGAACAAGATAATTTCAGACACTTAGCAAGCGACGTGCCACATTTCATCAGCGTTTGCTCTTTCAAAGCTTTGGCTCCAAATGTACGCTACTCTGTTGTTTTGTTTTCACAACAAATAATTTCCTGTATTAAAAAAAAGGCAGCACCAATACAAATTATTTTAGGAAGCGGGCAGAAGTAGAGCCCAATCTCCGACATGGAAAGCAAAGAGGCGGCCACGGCCTCAGGAGCGGGAGGAGACGCCCGCGCCTCCCGCCCCAGGACACGTCTTACGCCGCCTCCCCCGCCCTCACAGCCGCTCCCTGTCTCAGGAACTGCAGCCGCGCTCAGCCCCGAGCGCGAAGGCGCCGCATCGGCTCTCACCGCCTGCAGCCCCAGGAGCCAGCAGACCCAGCGCCGCCCCAGCGCCCCCAGCTCGGCCGCCGCCGCCATCTTGGTGCCGGAGCGCCCCTGCCAGCGGCGCCGGCGGCCGCGGAAGGACCTCACTCATGGCGGGTGACCGACACACCGCCTGATGCGGGAGAGCACAGACTTGCTCCCAGCCCCCGGCACTGCGAGCACAGACTGCTAAACCAGAGTATCTTCTGGAATTCTAGAGTAAAGGCATTTTATTCTGTTCAGAGCAGTGCTTCGCAGCGGGGCTGGAGAAACTGTCGTTTTCCAACGCTGGTCCGGCATTGCGGAAACAACCCCGAATAAAGCCCTTTCCCCTCTCTCGGGAACTGCCAACCGGCACACCGGCCCCCACCCGTGACTGACAGCCGGTCTGACCAATAGTGTTGTGCTTTCGCCACGGGCTGTGGCGCCTGCACCCAACGAGGTCGGGCGGATGGGCGGGACTTGGAACCGCGCCTTCCAATCAGGAAGGGACGCATGTAGGCGGGACATCGCCCCGCTCCGGCGGCTCAGCGCGGTGGGGGAGGCGGAGCGATTCCCGCTTCGGGCCAATCGGAGCGCGCGAGGGGCGGGGCGGCGGCAGCACCGCCCAATGGCGGGGGTGCGGGGCGGGGCCCACCGCGGGGCCCGGCGGCGGCGGCGGCAGGGGCGGGGGCGGGCGGGCGCGCGCGGCCGGGCGTTCGGTTGCCGAGCAGCGCGCGCAGGGCGGGCGGGGCGCGCCGGGGGCCGGGCCGGGCCGGGCCGGGCGGGGCGGGCGCGCTGCGGGCCGTGCGCGCGGCGATGTGAGAGCGGCGGCGCCGGGCCCTGTCCGCGCCCCCGGCCGCGCTCCCTCCGTCCCTCCTCGCCCGCGCCGTCCCCGCGGCTCCCGCCGGCCCCCGCGGGCCGGGCCCCGCGTTATGTCGTGATCCCGGGCGGGCGGCGCTGCTGCTGCTGCTCATGGGGCTGCTCAGGATTATGCTGCCGCCCAAGTTGCAGCTGCTGGCGGTGCTGGTGTTCGGGGTGGCCGTGCTGTTCCTGGAGAACCAGATCCAGAAGCTGGAGGAGTCCCGCGGCAAGCTGGGTGAGCGGCGGCGGGCGCGGCCGGGCTGGGGGCGGCGGGGCTGAGGGAGCGCGGCCGGGCCGGGGGAGCCCCCGGGCGCTGCTGCCCTGGCTCCGGGCGCTGCCGTGCCCCGCTGCACGGCACCGGCTCGGTGCGGGCCGGCCGCTCTGCAGCCTTGGCCTCTGAGTTCGTTCGTTTGTTCTGCGCGATCGGGAGAGCCGTGCCAGGTCAGCGCGGGGAGGACGGACGGACAGACGTGTCCGCCGTGCCCGAGGGGCTCTGGCCGGGGCGCGGCGCTCCCCTCACGGCCGGGCCGCCCCTGCCTCCGCCGGCACCTGCGAGCCAGGAGAGTAGCGGCCGTGTGCCCAAACTGAGGCGGCTGCTGCTGCTGCAGCGAATTACCAGCTTCTTCACATCTGATTTCTAATTCAGACGTTTTACCAACGCTTGGCACTGTAATGGAAAGCGCGGTGTAAAGAAAAGAAATGCTCTTAATGACAAATGGGTAATTTGTTTACCTCAGATTTAATGTAGGATGTTATTTTCTGCATTTACTGAGTGTAGTTAGTGATTTCCTAGACTGTCACTGAGCTGTACTTCAGTGAATAGCGGACTAGAAATCTCTTGTGTAAAATTTCTTTTACTTTTCCTGCCTTAAAAGGGCATTTTTAGAGTAATATCTGCCTAGTGGGTAGCATCTTACTACTTTGTCTGTTGTATATAAGGCTGCAGAACTTGTAAAGTTTTTGCATTTCTTAATTAAGGGTCTCCTGGATGTGAAAAAACCATTCTCAACCTAGTTTGTGGTGCCTAGGAGCTGTGAAAACAGGGCACTGAGACTTCTGGTGTATACAAGATAAGGAACTGGTTCACAAACGTTGTGGATTTGCTTTCTCCTGTTATTTGACTGTACTGAAATATTTACATTATTAACAGTAGTTAACAGTGTAAATTTAAGTTTGTTGGAAGAAAAGTGCACGTCGTGTTCCTTCTGGAGTTAACAGTAGAAGTGGATTTGAGTGACATGGGAAGTTTAACAATGAGTTTTTAACAGAGTCCACATAACTTAATGTTGAGCTGTATGAATGCCATGGGATTTTACTTCACAGCATTTCTTTTCCACTCCATTCTCTCTGAGCTGCACATTAGTGATTAGGACCTGGAAATTGCAGTGGGTGGCTGCTTGAGTTGAGGGAGGCCCTTACTCTGCATACTTTTCACCTGAAAGTTCTTATCCATTATAATCGAGGCTCTTTTTTTGCAGGGTCTCAATAACTGTAAACAAACATTTGAAGAAGAAAATGAATGAAATTGGAAGATAAAGCAAGCAAGTGTTGCCATAGTGCTGAAGGTTCAGTGGTACTTTGTATACATCTGCTTTAAAGTGGTTCATAGCCATGGCTGCAATGCTTCTGTTGCTGGCAGTGTGTGTTACTTTAGGGAACTCTACCTCCTGGCATTTAAAGAGTAACATAATATGTGTGAGAATCAAGAATTTTGCTGGTAAAACTTCTTCCTCCCTAGTATATATGCAATGGACATGTTTAACTTACATATTTAGAGGATTAAAATACTTAAACTGCTTTGGGACAAGAATCTAATTACTATCTTGTGCTGATTTTATTTCTTGAGGAGAAGGGAAAACGATTGTGAAGTTTCTTAAAAGTAAGATGGAAAGATTTGCTTTGTGTGCAACTTACTGGTGACTCTCCAAAACCCATGGAAGGAAGGGGAAAAGGACTTTGTGCAGCAGCTTTGAACTCAGATTCCAGTTTTTAGTGTGAGAGTATGCTTTGTTTAACAGCTTCTAGCTGTCTGAATGTCTCGCTTATCACATGTTTGGTATGTATTTTATGACTTTCAAATATTAAGATTTCATTACAGCTGTTTTTTTAATTGGTTAGAATTTTTTAATTCTAACCAATTCATGATTGGTTAGAATTCTACCGAGGTGCATTATGGAAAATGGTTTTCTCCAGATCAAAGTAATTAATTGGCCTAATGCACTTGAATGCCAATTTTCCTCCCTGCCCCCTGAAAGAATGGTGTGGGTGTGTGTGGAGTGACACTATGATTTGAGGGTGAGGACAAAGTAGCTCTTTTGTTCTCTCAGGTGTGTTTCAGTGAGTGCCTTATGGAGCTGCATTTCTCTTCCCAGAGAAAAGCAAGGCACAGCTTCCCAAGGATATTTCTGGGATTCACGTTCTCTGAACCTCAGAGAAAGAAAAAACAATTCTTATCTCATTTACTGCTCCTGTGTTTTGGAACAAGTGGAATGCATTGAGGAAGATTATTTATTTACCTGAAGGAATTTGCTTGATTGGATTCTGGTGTGAGTGTTTTGATTCATTGACCAATTGAATCCAGGTGGGTTGGGACTGTGGGCTGACAGTCACCAGGTTCTGGGCAGTTGAGTTGGTGCTTGGTGCAGATTCAGTTTAGATGTAGTGTAATGTATAAAATAATATAGTATGGTAAAGTAATTAATTAGCCTTCTGATATCAATGGAATCAGATGCATCATTTCTCCCTGCCATGGGGGCCCCTTTGCTTTTATTATAAGTGGAACTCAACTGCCCAGAACCTGGTGACTGTCAGCCCACAGTCCCAACACACCTGGATTCAATTGGTCAATGAATCAAAACACTCACACCAGAATCCAATCAAGCAAATTCCTTCAGGTAAATAAATAATCTTCCTCAATGCATTCCACTTGTTCCAAAACACAGGAGCAGTAAATGAGATAAGAATTGTTTTTTCTTTCTCTGAGGTTCAGAGAATGTGAATCCCAGAAATATCCTTGGGAAGTTGTGCCTTGCTTTTCTCTGGGAAGAGAAATGCAGCTACAGCTTTGTGTCAGAAGCCTTGTTACATGGGGTTTGGGGGGTTGGGTTTTGAGCTATGCCAAGTGTTTGCATTGATATATCACATGATAAACTGTCATCTTGGAAAGTTCTTGTAAGAGTTAGGCATTGGCTAGGAAAACCAAATTACTTCAGATTTGATAGCAAAATAATTGTGCAGTCTTTTCAGCAGTTCTAAAAATGTTCAACTGTACTTTCAGACAGAAAGGGCTTTATCCAAATCCTTCATGTATGAGCAACTCCCAGTTCTGTAGTGAACAGTTGGGGGCCTTAATTTCAGTTTGATAACTTAGAATATCTTGTCTGTAGAGTGAAATTGGAGCGTGTTTCTGGGTGAAAAAAGAATGGGAACTTCTTTTTTTTCTGTAAGACTTTATATGAATAAACTTGGTCACCCTGGCAGACTTCTTATTTGAGAAGTAGAGGACATATAAGCAAATGACCATCACAAATGCTGCTGCTGCTTTTTGTGACAAAATTGCTATGATCCTTTGAAAGGGTATTTATAAACCTATGGGCTTTTTCATATGAAAAATAACTTACTAGTTAATAAAGATAGATCAAAGCATTAACTTCTTTGCAGCTCTGTACAAGTAGTTTATAGTGGTGAGATCACAAGCAGAGTGTGAACAATTTGAAATATGTTTTTTGTGAGATTTCTGCCTACAGCTATTAATGTTTCATATTATTTTCAGGTTTACATGATCAGTTAGCATGCTCTCCAGACTAAGCTGTCCCTAATTGCCAGTGAGAACTTTAATGTTTTCATTTTAGCCTGGTGTAGGTATGTGCCCTTTAGCTCTAGGAATGCACAGCCCTAATAGAGAATATTGCTCATGAAAGGCAAATGTTGGGATTTCACTGTTGTTCCTGGAACAGAATAACAGAGGTGATGTCTGGCTGCCCCTTTTGGGTTTTGGAAGCCTTCTGAGTGCAGCTCTGCCTTTGTTATAAATTGGCCTAGCATTTAACATGTTTAATGTGTACCATGCCATCTCCTGCATTGTCATTAGTATTTGTGGTGAGATGGATGGAAAAAATTAACCAGCTGGATGTAAACCATCCCTCTCTTCTCTTCCATCCTGAGATTTTGTAATCTATTGGTGGGGAGAAGGAAGAGGGAAGTTCTTATGTGTTCTAGTCCTGGTTAAATAATAGTGTTTTACAGCATCAAGCGCTAGGAGCACTTCAGGATTGGCCAGGGAAGTGGGAGAAGACAGTGTCTCATTTGGGAATTGAAGTCTGTAGGATTGGTGAGAGAAGGTGAGGATAGGAGGTAGAGAAGGATTGCTCTTTGGTGGGGGGGAAATGAAACAATAATGCTGCTTTCTAGCACTTTAGTGATGTTTCCATATTGCATTGGAAAAAGGCTTTGTCTGAGAAACACAATACACCATAACAGGGAAAGCAAGGATTGAACCTGCTTCAGATCATGTTGAAAAACTTCATAGCTGTAATGTGGGAGTGTTTCTTCTGTTAAGTGATAAACAAAATAATGGCTCATATCTATTAATTCAGCACCTTGAATTCAGCGTATTGAAGTCTGTAATTTAAAAGAAATCCTTAATATTTAACTTTTTCCTTTTTTTTTTTTTTTTTTTTTTTTTGTTTCAAAATACTTACATCATTTGAAAGGCTAAGGCTCTTTTTGTGAGCCCAGGAAAGAAAATTTAATTGATGATTTATTCCAGATTAAAAAAAAAAAGAAGGTGATTTCCTAGCATATGTGACCCTTGCTGGGATAGTATCTTTCTAAGCACTGTGTGCCTAATAAACCACTGTTCCCTTGAAGTTAAAGGATTTAACTTCCCAATGGTTAAGTCTTATGGACATAAAAGACTTTGGGATGATGAAATGATAGGCATTGCATGTTTCCTTTATTTAGAAATAAAAATCTCCTGTTGGTAGGCCTGCCTGTTGCATGTTGTTGGGAAATCCCTCAGAAAACATATTGTGTGTTCTAGTACAGCTTGCATGGTTCCTTAGCATATTGTTGTTGTAATTGAGCATTTATAAAGAGGGACACAGAACATTATAAAGAGGAGTTTGTGATTGTTGGCAGGTCTGGCCACACACAGCTATGCAAATAATTTCCTAGATTTTTTTCTAAATATTGTCCTGTTAGACAACAGTTTTTATTTGCTGCTGAGTAGCCCAA